GGAGAAAGGTTGGAAAACTTTAATCTTCGATATCTCCTAAACGGTTAGAGATACAGGCCTCGGTCTGGCACCAAAATAAAGTCCTTTCAAAACCCTGCATTTTCGACTACATGGACGACTCTCTACTCCCAGTGGAAGCGGAGATATCGACGAAGGAAGTCTGGATATCGACGGAGAAAGGCTGGAAAACTTTAACCTTCGATATCTCCTAAACGGTTAGAGATACAGGCCTCGGTCTGGCACCAAATTAAAGTCCTCTTAAAGCCTTACATTTTGGACTACATGGACGACTCTCTACTCTCAGTAGAAGCGGAGATATCGACGGAGGAAGGCTGGATATCGACGGAGAAAGGCTGGAAAACTTTAACCTTCGATATCTCCTAAACGGTTAGAGATACAGGCCTCGGTCTGGCACCAAATTAAAGTCCTTTCAAAACCCTACATTTTCGATTACATGGACGACTCTCTACTCCCAGTAGAAGCGTAGATATCAACGGAGAAAGGTTGGAAATCTTTAATTTTCGATATCTCCTAAACGGTTAGAGATATAGGCCTGTCTCTGGTACCAAAATAAAGTCCTCTCAAAACCCTACATTTTTGCCCCTACAGTTTGCATTTCGTTTGTACCTCGACCGGTTCGAAGATACAGCATCTTTAAATTCTTCAAATAACGCTAAATTGGTACTACCGCTATTGGCACCCCATATAGGGCGATCGAGAGAACGACTCCAACATATAGGCGGCGCTTGCCAACCCGGATCCCCCTGGGTCTGCATTAGTCTGGCTAGAGCCAGACCTGCCTTTCTGATCCGGGGACCAGATTCCTGAAATGGGCCCTGAAGTCCCACCGGCCGTCCATCGTCAGGCCCAGATACTTTATGCTGGGCCCGACGCGGACGCGGACTCCATCCACCACGACCTGGGTCTCCGGTGGTACCCCACGGCTGCCGTCGTGAAAAAAGACGGTCTCCGTTTTTTGGGGCGCCACCTTCAGACCCAGATCACGAATGGTGCCCACCACGGACACCAAGGCCACCTCCGCATAAAGGCGGGCCTCCCACCAGTCCTCCCCCCCGGCTATCACTACGGTGTCATCTGCGTAGCAGATGACGTACAGCCTGGGGGGAGGGGCGTTCGCAAAACCCTATCGAACGCGATGTCCCATAGCAGGGGGCCCAGAACGGACCCTTGTGCGTACAATATTTTTTATTGCATTGTTGTAATAATTAATTTGTTACAATAACAAGTAAAATAACCATATAACTCAGTGTCCTAATAAATAATGATAAATTTTATTTGTAAAAATTTGTTAGTTTATTGAAAAATTTTTCGAACGAAAGTTGCATGGCTTGAAGGACGACACATGACGGAAATGTGGACTTGACCTTCAGTGACCTTGTCAAAATCAGGCCAAGGTCATTAATGTTTTTTTAAATAGAAACTACAATTTTTTATTACATATTCTTGTAGCTTATCTCGAGCGCTTTCCAAAACATTCTAACAAAGTTACATTTCATTAAGTACTTTCCGAGTTTTAAGGCTTGGATGTTAAGGCAAGACCGATCACTGATCCGACCAATTAAGGCAAGACCGATTCGAATATGTCTTTACACGTTAATAAGTCTTGGCCTTAGAAGTTCGAAATAAAACCTCTTTGCTTTAATTACAATATCCTGTAAGTTAACAAATATTCTTCACACATACAAGCATAATATTATTATATTTTTATTGAGTAGTGCACTGAACAACAAATGACATTGTTCTGAGAGTTTTCTCATTTAGAGCGACAAAACAAATATATTTTATGAATTTTTTTTCGCGCAGATAGAAAATTTCACGGATGTAATTGTTTTTGGAGATTATTTAATACTGTATGAAAAATATTTATTAACTTACAGGATATTGTAATAAAAGCAAAGAGGTTTCATTTCGTACTTTTTGATTCTGTTACAATATTCTTTTATATTTCATACTACATCCTTGTATAACTTAAAATTATTCTTAAAATATTATTAAACAATCCAATAATCAAACCTGTGAACCTGCCCGACTCCGCAAAATAATTAATAAAATATATTTCATTTTCTTGGCGCCGAATATTATTAATACTATTACAAATAATATTACAAATGATATAAATTTTTACAAATAATAAAATTTGTAAAAATTTGTATTATTTGTAACATTACTATACAATTATAAATAAAATTACAAATAATATTACAAATAATATATATTACAAATAATAATATTATTAATAATAAAATATTATTTGTAATAATTTGGGTGCGCCGAGTAGACAAAACTTTCAGTATTGTCATAGAGAGGAAAGGAGAGAGAGAGAGACAATCGCGCCCGCGATTCAGATTATGGGCAAGAAAGAATTAGGCTCGCTGAGCGAGAACGAGAGCGACAAGGAGGGAATGATATTCGCTCTCTCTCGCTCGCTCGCTCGGCGCGTCGACAATTGCCGATCGCGTGGTTCACATGGATTGACCGAGCTGGCTGTGTGCGTGCATGGGGGGGGGATAGGGGGAGAATTTTCGTGCAAGCCCGTCACCAAATTCGCATCACTGATACCAATGATGTCAAAACCGAACAAGCTGCGGACAAGCGTAACTTGTAAATATCGGAGATCAACTGTTTATCAGCTCATAGACAATTAATATGACGAGATACCCGCGGAGACCCGTGTACTTCTCTTTCGTCTTTGCGTACAATTGCGATCAATAAAAAATTTTCACGAATTGTTCGGTTTTGACATCATTGGTATACGTGTGTATGTGTACACATACATGTACAATTGCGATATACACTTATCATGTTAGCATTGATCATTTTTATTCATGCTAAAAGAAATAAGTATGATTATGTAAAGAATTTGTCTGCGTATTATTATACATTCTACATAGTTTTCCCTGTGATAGCAAAAATAACACACTTGAACAACCTCTACGCTCATATCACAAAGCCTGATCCACTGCGCTACTGAAGCAAATTGGTAATTCTTCTGCTATAACGACATTAACAGAAAAGACTAAACTTCAAACTGCATTTCCCAAAAACGTTTAAGATTTGCACTGTTTTTGGATAGCATTTGTTACTATTACATCAATATTATACTTTTCTAAAAGCAAAATCACGCGGTGATTTCAAGGATGAAGATTCCTCTTGTGTGAGATATTAATTATTCATTCTTTATTAATGGGAAAAGATTTTCCTTTGGTTTAAATGTTTAAGAAAAGTTATTTGTTCTCTAAGAATCTTTCAATTTTTATGTTCGTCAAAAGTTTATAAAATTCGTAAAGAAAGAAAATTATTTTATTACCTACCTGTTCAAGAGTTGCGCATAAGAGATATTTTAACAAATCTGAATCTGAATCAGTCAACAAATTAAATTTCTCAGAATTAAATTTCTCATTCAAAAAAGCATATGTAGGGTAAGCATAAGTAAGATAAGTATAAATAGTAAATTAAATATTATTCTCTGAATATAATAATAAATAAATGTTTTTTCTTTAGCTGAATCATCGAAGTAAATATTCTATTATAAATTGACTTTTCGGATTACAATATTAATTTGATTTTTCAGAGTACACTTTCAAATGGACTCTTCGGAATACGCTATTAAATTGATTTTTCGGAGTACACTTTTAAATTGACTCTTCTGACTACACATTTTTTAGTTGACTCTGTGGGGTACATATTTTTTAATTAACTCTTCGGAGAGAAGAGAAGAGAAACATATTATATTTTATTTAAAAAATCGTAATTTTTATAGAAAACTGATTGATGAAGAAAAAAATTAATTCACGACCTCAACGAAGATCTTAAAAAAATTATTGCAAGAAATGAAGTTGTTGTTATTATATACCATATTGTACAATATTAAAACATACGCGCAATAATTATCTATAATTTGCATATATGGGCGTTTGTGTAATTATAAATAATATAAAAGTCATGACAAATTAATGTGGCCGCGCGTTATCTCTGTCGCGTCATTGCTAGAAATCATCCGAACTCTCGAAATTATTTTCTTCACGAATTATGAATATAAAACAATGTGGAAAGGAAAACAAGGGGGTGAAAGGGAGGGACGGTGACGTCTGCCTTACGATAACATCATTGCTGGCTCGCTTCGTCGCGATTGTATATTCGCTGGTGGTGAGACAAAAACCGATTCTTCGTTTTTATCTAACTAATCTAGCTCGCTCGTGAACATAGCACAGAACAGAACCAAATAATTACGGACATAGCACGGAATAGTATCAACAAATCGTGGACATTGGCTTAGTAGTTCATGTCCATGAAAAATGGACCCAGTTGGCGCTTCGAATCAGCCAACTTTTCCATAACGCTGTAAATGCAGCCATGCCCGCTCTCAGGCTTCTCTCTGGCACTACACAGACATTATTATTTTGATTTCTTTGATATTGATTAAGAATTATCCAGAACGCAACTGCCATGTTGAACGACTCAATTGTCGTGTGAAATGTTTCGATTTTCACAAATTCGTATAAAATTTTTTATTTTTCACTAATTCACATAAGTCTTTCACTTTTCACTAGTTCACGCTAGGGAAAAAATTCATGAAGTTTGTTTTTTATTGCTGAACTGGCTGCACTAACTTGCACTTATTCTCTTCTCTCCCTTTCACTAACTCCTAGATGTATATCTATTTCTTTTTATGTTCCCTGAGTGTACACTAGTTCAGTGATAAAAAACAGACCTATCATCGCTGCTCTGATTTATGGTCTGTTCTTTGTAGCTGCACTGCTGAACTGGTGCAATAAGCTAGAGTGAGAAAACCTATATTTGTCTCACTTTAATTTATTGCACCAGTTCAACAGTGCAGCTACAAAGAACAAACCATTAATCGACTCCGGTTGGGTTAAAACCCGTTCACTGCAATACGCGACTAGATTCTCCCCCAAGTCTCGTTTTCGTGAAACGCGTTCGAAGGACAATGTTACCAACGTTTCAGGCGATGTTCATCGCACGCTGTTGGCGACACTAAATGACGATCAGGTCGGCCAAGCGTGCGTGTTTGCTTCATTCGTGCGACGACATGGCGGCGGATCTCGATCAGTTCCAACAGCTCCTAAGTACACTCCTCAGCTCAGAAAACGAAGTCCGTGCGCGAGCGGAGGTATGTATAATGGCCACCGGAGGTACCGTGAAGTGCTCATTAATCGGCATCCATTGCGCGTTGGAGCACACGGATATTCGCTATGCGACACACTACGTTCCAGTCGAGCACGTTGCCGACGTGTTGTCAGCGCCCGCATGTGCCCGCGAGCTCATTGTTGCGGTAACGCGGACGACATAGCCTCACGTGTCGCAATCACTTCGCGCCGTGCCGACGATGACGCGCCAACTAACACGGCTGAATTCGCATGGCCATGTGCCGCTCCGCATGCTGACAAGTGTTTGCTGAGCAAATCCAAAATGGTGTCATAGACGGGTAGCGCGCGCGCGCTCGCTCACGCTACTCGTCAACTCGACATGTCCGGGAGACAGGCGGACGGTGACTATCTCCGTTTGGCTTCATGTCGTATTTGTTTTGAGCGAGCGACCTCTTCGCGACTTGAAGACCGTCCGCGATGAGCCTGCAGCTTCGCCAGGATGTCGCGTCCGTATGAACGCGTGTCCTACGCGACCCGGCAGGATATGCGACTCGGTGCACCGTGCACCTTGCTTTCCCGCCTACACGCATCGCGATTTCCGGTAATCGTGTGAACGAGCGAGCTGCACGTGCTAGCCCGTTGCAACTAGCCGTAACGGATGTGATTTTTACAGTGCGTTTCGTGCTTTGTTCGATTTTACCGTTAATTTTACAACTTCCCTATATGTATGTATGTATGTATGTATGTATATATATATATATATATATATATATATATATATGATATATGCAGGCACACACATGCACGTATACACATATACGTTTTACCTTGACTCTCGCACGGCCGGATCACGTGTCGAGCGTGAGCGAATATTCATGCGTGCTCCGGTTGCGATATGTATACTCCTGATTAAATAAGTCTAATGTCGTTCGGTAAATTTAGTTTTGGAGTAATATTTGATCTTGGCATCCACATGTACATATTTTGTGTACACATGTACTGTGTGTGATATTGTTGAGATTATTAAGTTCTCTTTTTTATTTTTTATTTTTTTTTCTATTTATAGAATTATATTCCTAATTTGCAATTTTGTATATTATGTTTACTTAAGAAATAAATGCCATATCCATTTGGAATTATAAGTACATAATTCAGTTTTGAAGATAAGAGATTATTACTGTCTTTGTAAATGAGAAAACAACTTTGAAGATAATAAAGTATTTTTAGCTATTTGAATTCTTATTTTTCTACTTTTTTTCCGTCATTATCTTGAAGATTCCAGATAATTAACAATATTGTAATGTTTGAAACCATTTAGGAGACGTATAATAATCTTTCATTGGAGAGCAAGGTGACATATCTTTTAAGTACTGTTTGCAATGGCACACTTGTGGATGAAATGCGGTCTATGGCTGCAGTACTGCTACGCCGACTGTTTGCCTCAGAATTTATGGATTTCTTCCCTAAGGTAATTTAAAATGTATACATATATACAACTTAAAATGTGTACATATTTAAAATATACTTTGTGCTAATTTTAATATTTTTAAAAAGATTTATCAGCAGCTAAATTAGATTTAGGAATATTTATGTCCTCTTTCTCTTTTAACTCAAAGATTGGTTAAAAATAGATTTGATAATGTGATTAATTTAGATCCCATCAGAGGCACAAGCCCAGCTGAAAGAACAGATTTTATTATCAGTCCAAAATGAACAGAAAGAAACTATACGTCGTAAAGTCTGTGAGGTTGCAGCTGAAGTGGCTAGGAACTTAATAGACGAAGATGGCAATAATCAATGGCCAGAGTTTCTTCAGTTCTTATTTCAATGTGCAAATAGTCCTTCACCCGAATTGAAGGAAAGTGCACTCCGCATGTTCACGTGAGTTTCACGTAGATCTAAACATTTTACATAAAAATGACATCTAAAAAAAAAATGATATATGCATATCATACAGATCCGTCCCAGGAGTATTTGGAAACCAACAAACAAATTATCTTGATCTTATAAAACAAATGCTACAGCAAGCTGTTGTAGATATAACAAATTATGAGGTAATACATATGTTTTATATAATATATATTACTTGTAGTTTAACGGGAGATAGATACTTGAGTTTCAACAAGTTAAGATTACTTAACATAATTCTTCCCAAAAGCAAAGAAAAAATGCCTTTTGATGACTGTAACTTGTGAAGTATTAATTTACAGACAGATACGGGGCATACATTTTGCAAGAATAAATTATGTCATATTGATACAAAATAAGTTTTTCCTGCTTTTTTTATTAATAAGATTAAGATAAACTAATAAAATAAAAAGATTTGATGTTAAAGGAAATGTATAATTACATTAGTCACCATTGTTTTTACCATTCAGGTTCGATTTCAAGCAGTACGTGCAATTGGAGCATTTATAATATTACACGACAAAGAAGATAATATACACAAACATTTCTCAGAGCTAGTTCCTGCACTTGTACAAGTAACCGCTCAATCTATAGAAAAACAAGAGGATGATGCGCTTTTAAAAGTGTTAATAGACCTTGCTGAAGCCACGCCAAAATTCCTCAGGGGACAATTAGATAACATAATGCAATTATGTATGAATGTAGTCTCCAATGAAGAGATGTCTGATTCTTGGAGACAATTGGCATTAGAAGTTATGGTATCAATGTCAGAAAATGCTCCCGCTATGGTACGCAAAGCTGCTGCAAAATACATAGCAGCTCTAATACCATTAGTACTGAAAATGATGACTGACTTAGAAGAAGATGAAAAGTGGAGTTTCTCCGATGAAATCATCGAAGACGACAGCGACAGTAATAATGTAGTTGCTGAAAGTGCTCTAGATAGGTTGGCATGTGGCCTCGGTGGTAAAACGGTACTACCGCTAATCGTGCAGAATATTCCCACAATGTTAAGTAACAGTGACTGGAAATATAGGTAAATACTGTATAATTTATATAATTTTTTTTTTATAAATTATATGATATTAAATTGGATATGATATTATTGATGTTAAATTATGACCTGTATAATCGTGTTCAATATTCAGCATATGTAATATCTAGATTACGTGTATTATATAAAAAAACAATTTGAAACGTCACAGAAAAGTCAGCAGTTATATATTCTTGTGTGTGTAATTGCGTTACGTCTGTGGCAGAGTAACCAACGTGGTAATGCTCTTTTCCAGCTGCCGTTTTGGTAGTTGGTATTTGAGATTCTCGTTGGGTGTCCAAACTGAGAGTTGGCAGTTATTAGATGTGACTGCCATAGTTTTGAAACACACAGCTTTTCTCCGATATAGTAAAATTTTATTTTTTATTACATGATATTCATGTGTTGCATGAATGAATTACATAAAGTCCAAAAAAGAGGAAAAAGGAAAATATATATTTTGTTTTTCATTATTTAGGCATGCAGCACTTATGGCTATTTCAGCTATTGGTGAAGGATGCCATAAGCAAATGGAAGCTCTTTTACCACAGATAATGGATGGTGTCATACAATATCTGCAAGATCCAGTAAGTATAAAGAATAAATTTCATTCATTGATTCAATTTTTCAAATCCTATCATATCAGATTATATATACGTAATTAATTAATTAATTTATTAAGTTAATCCACAAGTCAAGTCAGCGATCATATTTAATATGATGATAGCGTTACATTTGTGGTAAATTAAGCGGAGGATACAGATTCTCACTGTATTACCGTTTTGGTAATGCAGATGCCAAAATCTATCCTCTGTAGTTCCTGAGAGTTGATTATTTGCTGTTAAACAATCATAGTTTTGGAACGTACAAAATTTCCGTTTATCATTTCTATATAATCGTGAAATATAAAATTTAATGTTGCTTTCTAGCATCCCCGTGTGAGATATGCCGCTTGTAACGCCGTAGGACAGATGTCTACAGATTTTTCACCTACGTTTGAAAAGAAATTCCACGATAAAGTTATACCCGGATTATTGATGGTGTTGGACGATAACGCGAATCCTCGAGTTCAAGCGCATGCCGGTGCCGCTTTGGTGAACTTTAGTGAGGACTGTCCGAAAAATATTCTAACGCCGTATCTCGATGCCATAATGGCCAAACTAGGATCTATACTAACCAATAAGTTCCATGAATTGGTTCAAAAAGGCAACAAGCTCGTGCTTGAACAAGTAAGAAAAATTGATTATAATAAATCGTTAAATATAAATGACTTATTTACAAGTGCAAGCATAACAAATACAAATCGCTGTTTTTTGTAGGTTGTTACAACAATAGCTTCTGTTGCTGATACTTGCGAAGAACAATTTGTAACGTATTATGACAGACTAATGCCTTGTTTGAAATACATAATCCAAAATGCGAATCAACCTGAACACAAAATGCTACGTGGCAAAACTATTGAATGTGTCAGTTTAATAGGCCTCGCTGTTGGTTCGGAGAAAGTAATAAGTCGTTCCGTTTTTTATTCTGATTTCCTCACGATAAGGAAAGTGTATATTAATCGATTGTTTCATTCGATTTTTACAGTTTATTGTAGACGCTAATGAAGTTATGGATATGTTACTCAAAACACACGCAGAAGGTAATCTGCCAGATGATGATCCACAAACTAGTTATCTCATATCAGCTTGGGCTAGAATTTGCAAAATACTTGGTAAGACTTCTCGTATACGCATATAATTCTAAATACTTAGATCGGAACTTGGGTCTGTGTGTTTACACAGTGTACACAGTGCACATGTAGTTTATTACAAATGTCTGTGTGTATATTTCTTCGCAGGAAAACAATTCGAACAATATCTACCATTAGTAATGGGACCCGTCTTACGAACGGCTGCTATGAAACCTGAGGTTGCATTATTGGACAACGAAGATTTGGAAACTATCGAAGGTGATGTCGATTGGCAGTTTGTTTCATTAGGGGAGCAACAAAACTTTGGAATTAAAACAGCCGGTTTGGAGGACAAAGCTTCTGCATGCGAGATGCTGGTTTGTTATGCGCGAGAATTGAAAGAAGGTTTCGCTGGCTATGCCGAAGAGGTAGTTCGATTGATGGTACCAATGTTGAAATTCTATTTTCACGACGGTGTCCGAACTGCGGCCGCGGCAAGTCTGCCGTACCTTCTTGACTGCGCTAAGATAAAAGGTTACTATAAAAAATTTTTATTGCTACACTGAGAAACATACAAGTTTTTTTTTATTTTTCTGTCTATTTTGCGAAACTTTTAAATCGTACGTTAATGTTTATATATTGACTTTTTAAGGCTCACAGTATGTAGAAGGCATGTGGGCATATATTTGCCCGGATCTTTTGAAAGCCATTGATACAGAACCAGAATCTGATGTCTTGATGGAGCTATTGTATTCTTTTGCAAAGTGTATCGAGACTCTAGGTGCAGGTTGTTTGAGTGCTCCGCATATGACTGAACTTCTACGAATTTTAGATAAATTACTCAATGACCACTTCGAAAAGGCATTCGCTAGGTTGGAGAAACGAAAGGACGAAGATTATGACGAGGTATTGCAAAATTGTGTGTGTGTATGGACTTTTATAAATACATTTATTGTGTATAATACATATATTCATATGTTGTTTCATAGGTTGTTGAAGAACAACTTGCTGATGAAGACAATGAGGATATATATACCCTCAGCAAAATCGCCGATATTTTACACGCCTTGTTCTCGACCTATAAGTCCTCATTTTTCCCATACTTCGACCAAATATGTGGACATTTTGTCAAGTTATTGAATCCCGAAAGATCGTGGTCGGATCATCAATGGGCTTTGTGCGTTTTTGACGATGTAATAGAATTCGGAGGACCTGAATGTGTAAAATATCAAGAATTCTTCTTGCAACCCATGATCCAATATGTTTCTGATAAATCTGCCGAAGTTCGACAGGCAGCTGCTTATGGTTGTGGAGTTTTAGGCCAATTTGGCGGGGAAAGCTTCGCCCAAGCGTGTGCGGAAGCTTTACCGAAATTAATAGAAGTTATTAATGATTCAGAATCTAGGTTGGCAGAGAATGTAAACCCTACAGAAAATGCTATTTCGGCGGTAACAAAAATTCTTAAATATAATAATAAGGCAATCAACGTCGATGAAATCCTTCCACTCTGGTGAGTTTCTATATTTTTCACGTGTAGTCTTCAATTAGCTGCATGAACATGAGACTGAATTTTGACTGTATAGGCTATCTTGGCTGCCAGTTGTTGAAGATGAAGACGAGGCACCACATGTATATGGATACCTGTGCGATTTAATAGAGGCGCATCACGTGGGAGTCTTAGGAACAAATAACTCACACTTACCGCGACTTATAAGTTTCTTTGCCGAAGCACTCTTCAGAGATGCTGTGCCTAACGATCATCCCGTTATGTCCAGAATTCTTAGTATTGTTAGAGAAATACAGGTGAGCTGATAATTCATATGTGTTATATACGTAGTTCAATAAAAGATAACTAATAATGTCATATCTTTTTAGAACAACGAGACTATATTCCAGGCAACCATAATGGAATTAACGACAGATCAACAACAAGCTCTTCATGAGGCACTCAGCACACTAAGTTGAATTTCTAACATTATAACATAAAAAAAAATAATCGTAAATTTAATCTATCTTCTGGGAAATCTCTTATGAAGATTCTAGGTAGTTAGATTATACCTATGAAAACTTACGTTCGCTCCAGTCTAGCTACACACACATACACATGCAGATACATATATATATACAAATTTTACGTGTTTCATATATTATTATTATTCACGTATTTGTTAATTATATCTTTCTGCATCATGCTATCAAATTTGATAATTGTCAATTTTTTACCGTCAGGGATTGTTATTAAACCTTATCTAAAACTAAATTTGCGTTTGTCACTGATTAATACAGTGCAAATAATATGAAAGAAATTTGATTAAAAATGAGGGCTCGCATTGATGAAATCTTGACGAATAAACTTATACATACAAATGTTTTAAACAGAAAATTTATTTACATATATTTAATATCTTGTTTGTTTGTTTTTTTTTACATAGCTTTGGTTAACACTATCTAAAAAAAGATTTACAATGTCGAATTAAATAAAATGTCCAAACAATGATATTTTATATTGAAAACCGAACGATACTTAACATTTTTCTAACGTTTAAGAAAAGTGATTTTATAAATTGCGTAACAATGCAAATATTAAATATAGTTTTGTTGGAACAAAATATTTAAAAAATTATGATTTTGTCTCTGCGATCTCTTCATACAAATTTATTTATATTCTCGAGCATTATTTAGCTAAAATGACGAAACTAATGCAAAACAAACTGGAAAACCAGCTTTTTGTAGCCATGAAATGACCGCGTGTGACTCATTGTGATTTAGATATTTTTATTATTAAATTTAGGTATCATGTTATTTAATGATAATGTCAATAATATTATGATGTTGGACGTTAAATGCGAGTGTATACGAATGCCTTTTGAATGAAACGTAATGGAACACTTAATAAATTGTAGATTCGAGGTCACAAGTTTGCAGACTGTGTATAATACACATTCTGTATATAATTAAAACATAAGATGCATGTTCAAGTACAGCAAAAATTCTTGTAATCTTATAGCTAATTAACATTGAGTTCTTACGCATTCTTAGCTGTGACTTGTTCATGTCATTTAAATCCAATGTTAGTCGAGAATATAAATGATGAAAAAGGTACACACAGCAGACGGAAAACAAGAAAAAATGAGTCGAGTAGAGAACCGACAATACTATATGCATTACGTTTCCTTCGACATGCGACACATGAATCGAAAAAAAAAACACTAATATTTAACGAAAAGGACTGAGTGGAATGATGTTTAAACAACTCCCTGTTCTTGTTGCTATTTATTTATACACAAATAAGTCCTTAATAAGCCTCTGATACAACTGTATTAAATTTCCCATAAAACTGACCTACAGTAGACTTTCAGAGAACGAGAGAAAGTGGCTACTTCTAACATAAATGTTCCAGGTGATGATCTTTTTTTACTGAAACGTGTAGAAAAATAAAGGTAAAAAATAAAACATTTATTTGTACATACAAGTATATAAATACCGAACAAGTATACATATCTGTATATATATATATATATATATATATATATATATATATACATATATATATATATATATATAGAGAGAGAGAGAGAGTTGAAATATACTTGTAAGTATCCTTAACGTATGGCAGACACTGCCCTTGACGATTGTTTCGCAAAAAAATCGACACCTCGACGAAGATTCTTGCAACAAAATACATGTATACTTACAGCATACAATCGCAAATCTTGTTTATCTATAGAAATGACGGACTGTTCATGCGGTACACGCTCGGAAAAGAAAAAAATCGGTGTGAAGAAGAATGTAGCATTATATAGAGATTATTTTAAAGTTATTATTATTTAAAATAAATCTCAGCTTTGTAACTGATGGTTTTGTTTCACCTCAACATTCGTAATATTTCGTTTCAACAAAGTAGATAACATGCACGCATGGCACTGTGTTTACTTCATATAATGAAATATATACTATACGTTAAGTCGTATAATCTTTCATAAAAATTATCGACTAATTGTAAATTAATGATGATCATATGATTTTTATTTTGTGTGACTGTTACTTTTGAGATAAAGTTACTTCAAATGCAAGTTAATACGTTATAAGAGACGCGCATCTGCTATCCTTTGTAATCGAAACTGGAATTAATAACACAGCGTATCGTATTACTGTCGAGTAATGCACTCGTACATCGTATCGGCTTATCGATTATTATCATTCACTATTGCGAAAGATGATTACCCGGCCCAGATAATCTGCCCGTATAAATGCAATGTATAAATTGGGTAATTATTTAATTTAAGAGAGTCAGAGTTTCAATTATTTCAGTCATGACATATTGTATGAAGTCATCTTGAGGAATAACCTATTGTAGAGATTTTAGCCGTCGTTCATTGTTTATTAAAAAGTTATTATCAAAAAAAGTTCCATAAACAGAATTTGTTTTTCCGACACAGTATACATTAAAAAATGTTAAGTAGTACATATAAGTACGCAGGAGGAGCGAAACTCCCTCCCCACTGTACCTCTTCCTGAAAAAACCTAACCTAATTCAACTTACACATCTTTGTACATGATTGGAAAGATCCCTTTAATCCCACAACCACGTCGGAAAAATAGACTTTATTTATAAAATTTCTTTTGTTAATAACTTTTTACTTATAAAATATTAAAATTATATAAAATCGATCATTTTGTATTTCTTTGCTCATTTGTCTCATTGGGAGAAGTTTATATTCTAAGTATTATATATTGTATAAAAACTCACTGTGCAATATAAACAGACATGGTGAATACTTATTTCGATGAATATCTATTATCGAATTTCATATATTAATATTACCCACATATTTCTAATTATATAATACGATTGAGAAAACAGTGTCAACACCTTTATCAACTTTATATACAAATAAATTTTCAATCTACCTATTAAAACTGGTTTAAATTCGCACTCGCGACTGCACGTGTATAGATTTGTTTAGTCTACATTTGTGATCGTTGCATTTTATCACATATAACCATGTCTGCACGAACGAAACACGACGACAGCCTTTGTGCGACATTACAACACAAGGCACCGCCGAGCAAAATTTCCCCAAAGTTCTCATAAAAAATTCATCGGCGCGCAAGTGACACTCTGTGCTACGTGCGTTAACCCTTTCGCATGTAGGTGCATGCACACCGGTAAACATGAGACAACACACATGACGCCGGCGATCATCCGATATTACGTCATCGTTTGCCCCTCCGCCACGTGTCGAGAAAGACAGCTACCGCCTCGCCGTGGCATGCAAAGTGCGATATCGCGCTGCGACGCGGCTCTACCACGCATTACGCGCAGCAGTGATTCCCGACGAGTCTCACGTGTCTATGACGGTCAGTGACGATAGAGAGTCCTAAAAGTCGATCGAAATCTCATTATATTAGCCGGCCGGCTACATTTCGCTAAGATTTGCCACAAGATAGGCGAACGTCGCGAGGTCGCGCCGCGATACGAATACCACCCGGTGCTTCGAAAATAATCGCGTCGTCAGCCGTCGCCGCTATCTGAGGCCCCAGACGCCCGGGAAATTTCGAAGGGTGAGTCGTACGTGTGTATGTGTGGTGTGTGGTGTGTGTGTATGTGTGTGTGTAATGTTCGTATATGCGTGGCTGTGTTAATCCGAGTATTCTCGACCATCCGCAACTACCTGCGCGTTGGAACCGTATGTTCGTACCGGGGCAACCGACCGGGCTGCTTTGTGGTGTCTTTAGGGATTTAATTTCGAAGCGACTCGAGCTTCAGAGGTTCCACGTGCGTGGGGCGCGACGAGAAGAGAGTGATCTCTTTTTTAGAACGATGTACCAATGCCATTTTTTTAGCCATGACTAACGCACTGCGAAGATCGATCGCGATCCTATTTAGTGCCGCGAAATTAACGCCCTGTAACGTAGTGGTCGATGTTAAATAGAGCGGAACGTTCATCGCGAAACCGTCGTTGTTAGCGACGAACGAGCACGCCGATAACGCACTTTTGTAACGGTATATCTTATAAATGCGGCGAAAAATGCGACGAAAAGACGGGAGAAGAAGTGCGCCCGGTGATGTGATCGAACGTGATAATTGCGACTCGTTGACGAAGAATCAACGTAGCGACGTCCTTGCTTCGTGAGAGGACTCGACGGAAATCAGCGCGATATCGTTCTCGGGGCGTTGTTGACATTTCATGAGACTCCGTCGGTACTTTACCCGCTCTCTCCTCCTACCTGTGGTCAGGGTTAGGTGCGTCGGAAACGGCACCGGTACGATGGTCCCGTTGGGGTTCGAACATAAGTGGTAGAGACGTCGTAAGCTCGTGCAGAACGTTCTACCGAGCTTCTGCTAGGTCAGCTGTTTTTGGTATTAGCCATTAGTACGGCCCACGTGTAATTATCGCGATTTGAATTGCTCGATAAATGGTCACTGAAAACGGAACTCTGGCCCAAAGCGAAACGCGCACCACCGGGTAGCATCAACGGACGAGAACGTGCGATTTCGTCAAAGTTGTGCGACCGAATTCGTCGTCTCGCATTGGTATTCTTTATTTGAACTATCTCGTTCCCCTACAGTCCCCTACAGTAAGCATCTTCGCGTTCTCGGGAATTCGGGGTATGTTGCACAATGGAAACTAGGGCGTACGAAGCTCGACCCCGCAAAGTCGCAATTTTTCTCGCCCGATCCTCATTCCTCGTTTTTTGCACATACGTCACGTGTAACGGAACGCATGCGTAACGGACGGATCGTTGCAACGAGTGCCATCGTCGACGCGTGTGTATCTCAAAATTGGCTGAAATTCGCCGGCTCTGTGTGCGTCGAGCAAACGAGTCTCATTTGTTCGCCGCGACGTCGTGAATTTTCAATGGTAACGTCAGTCAGACGTGCGTGGCATGCGGCATGCAGGCGCGGTCTGTATGACGTCGACCGGTAGACCGTAGATCGCTTCCGATCTCGAAAATCTGCTTCCCGACAAGCAAGGATGCTGTGGGTTGTGTCGCACTTACGCTCGTTACCGATTCACGATGGTGTAAATACCAGTCTAAATCGTTTTTCTCTCTGATACGCGTATTGGTTCTATCTGTACTATTACAGGTCTTATATTGTTACAAATACACACATATAAAATTAGTATTTTATATTTTTTGGTATAGTTTTTGGTATAGTTATAGGGATTGCAATATTGTTATGATATATCGTCAGTCGGGAATGATCATAACATACATCCTGATTAAAAATTTATATTGTTATAATTTTATTGTGACTTTTACACCCTTACAGTTAGGCCAAAGCTGTATGGCAACAGCATTTCAAAGGTAAAAAGATGTCCAGGAAGCGTCCCAGAGAAGAAACTATGATAGCTACTGCAACCCACCAAGATAGTATCAATGGAGAAAGTCCATCTTGTTCAAGGGAAGATTCTCCAGTACATGCTGTAAGTATCGACATGTGCAAATAAATCAAGGGGATATAAATTAAGAGGTGAAAGAAATTAAGAGACAAAATATATTATATTATCTCACAGCTGCTACCAACATCATATAGTACTCTATTTCCATAATCGGTATTACTTATATATGACATATTGACTATTTGATACAATTTTTTCTAGCAAAGATTTTAAAATTACATGGAGATATACTATTAATATAATTTACAAGTTGTGCTAATATATAGGATTCATATCTTGCATAAGATATATAGCTAAGAAGAGGTCATTTGTCAATATCCATTTCTTATGAATAAGCATTACTCATGATAAGAAATTTTTTTAACATGTCACTATAAGTAAAAAACAGAGTTTAAATATTTTCTTTTAAATATTTCTCTTAAATATATTCAGTTTTATAACAACTTTTGAATATACAATATATATAGTAAAATATGTTTATTTATAAATAGATATATATATATATATAATTGAAGATTATTCAAGAGAAACCAATTATCAATACATAGAAAATATTATCATTGATATATACTATTTGGTGTTGCTTTCAAGTGATAATTGTCTGGCGTGACCCAAGATTAACTTATCTAATGTGATAAAAGCTTAGAAATACTCTACCAATTCATCAGTCTTGCTCAATTCACCAAACTGGTCACACTGGCCCATATTTAAATGTTAAATTCAATCTAAAATATATTGAATTTTATAAATTTATATTTTATACTTATAAATTGTGACTTAAAAGTGATTTAATGTATATATAATTGTGCAAGTTATATTTTTAAATACCAAGTGTCCTACGCGTCAGATTTCTTTATCAGAAATCTAGTTAACATATTTAGGATATCAGAAAGATAAATTTTGATCTTGTAAGCATATTGTCAAATTGTGCAAAGAAAAATGACTTGGGGATCCAAACACAATGGTAATGAAAATAACGATGCAAATTTGATGTTTCTAAAAGATTATAATCAAATTTCTGTTTGTAATGCAACAATTCCAGTAAGTTCTATATGTTTATTTTATCCTCCTGTAATATATAATATAATTTATTAAAATAACACTTACTCTACTTCTTTTTATCTCCATGATATGACAAGTCGAAATATAAATAATAAATTATTTTCATTTAAACATAAAACATATACTTTTCTTCATTTGTTTCAGTCTATTTGTAAAGAAGCTCCTTTCAGCGATGATATAGAGGCGATCATAGAGAGAAATTCATGTGATTACAACATACATATTACTTTAAAGCAAGCGAGGAGTGGTAAAGGTTTGTTACATCTATATTTTTATATAGAGTACGTCAAATATTATATATAGATACTTTATTCTCTTATATATATTTTTTTTTTTACATATGTTTATATATACATGTCCTTTTTCAGTTCCTAGAAGAGTAAGAGTCTATGCTGATGGTATTTATGATCTTTTCCATCAAGGACATGCGCGACAACTTTTACAGGCTAAAAATATTTTCCCAAACGTTTATCTCATTGTTGGAGGTAATTATTCTGAGAGAAAATATATTATTGCTAGCTCTAATAGTTGCTACATATCAAATATAACATTTAATTTTACAGTGTGTAATGATGAACTTACTCATAGTAAAAAAGGAAGAACTGTAATGACAGATTTAGAAAGGTATGATGCTGTTAGGCATTGTAGATACGTAGATGAAGTCGTGCGAGATGCACCTTGGGAACTTGATGATCAATTTCTTGAGAAACATAAGGTATACTCATGAGAAAGATATATATTTTTCTGTTTTTAAGTTTGAGCAATAATATATTGCATTTTAGAGTTGCTTTGTAAAAATTGTATGAATTACATATGTATATTTTGTATTTCAGATCGATTTTGTTGCTCATGATGACATACCCTACATGACAGATGATGGCTCAGACGTCTATGCGAAGTTAAAAGCTAAAGGTATGTTTGTAGCTACACAAAGAACGGAAGGAGTGTCTACATCAGATATAGTTGCGAGAATAGTTAAAGATTATGACATATATGTCAGGAGAAATCTTGCACGTGGTTATAGTGCAAAGGAACTTAACGTTTCTTTTCTGAACGTAAGTGATTGTTAACTGTTATATGCGATAAACATATGTATAATGTGTTTATGATATTGTATAGAAAGAAACACTATATTAGAACATTATATTAGAATTATTAAAAAACAAGACAGTAATTACGATAAAAATAATTTTGCAGGAGAAAAAATTCCGTTTACAAAACAAGTTTGATGACCTAAAAGATAAAGGAAAACGAGTGATGGAAAACATTGGTGAAAAGCGAATGGATATGATCAGTAAATGGGAAGAGAAATCTCGTGACTTCATCGATGCTTTTCTTCTGCTCTTTGGAAGAGAAGGCAGATTGGTATGTATAATGTGTATATAGGTCTACATATACAATTTTTTTCTCTAAATAGAGTGGACTGACCAGTCATTTTTAATATCTTAAATATTTTAAGATAAGATAAAAACTAAACGGAAGACTAAACACAAGGCTAAGATAAAGAATGAAAGAATAGAAAAGTGACTATAAAAATTACAAAAAATTTGTTGCCATCATATTATTACCCCTTTTCTCATTGTCAAACTTTTCGTTATCAAAATTTTTCTCATAATTTCGAAAATATTTTCAAAGTGAAAATTACTGATGTCATATCTCGTTTATAGACGCATTAAATCTAAATTTATTCATATCTAAATTATTAGAAAAAAGTTATACATCGAAAATTTTAATTTGTATTGAATGTGTATTTCATGTGTAGTCAACAATTTGGAACGAGAGTAAAGGACGTTTGATGCAAGCATTATCTCCACCAGCAAGTCCAAAAAGAGATGGCAGTCCAAATAGTAGTAATAGTAGCAACAATGATGAAGATCAGACAAGGTACTTTTTTGAACATGTGTAAAAACATGCTCACATTTGATTAAACCATTTTACATACATGTATATCTTGTCTTACAGTCCACCACCAAAAAAGACAGGACGCTATGAATTTTCGCGCAATAATCATTATCTAAGTGATGATTATAGCGACGATGAAGAGGAAAACTTACACTCTAAATGATAGCCCACTATATTAAAGAGACATGCTCTGACCAAAAGTATCGTGCAATTTTCATTTACTATTTTGAGGTCTAGATGTATTTTCATACAGCTACATGATCTGGTGGTGCAGAGTGTAACTCTATGCTTAATAGATTTTGTATAGTATGAACAAATACTATACATTAAACGAAATTGTCCGTTGTGATGCGAGTGTTTAGTTCAGTCGCCAGTTTTATTATTCAGATTACGATATACACTTAATTTCGATATAGTTTCGATAATTCTTCTCTCGTTGCAGTTTAGAACGCAACCAATAGTTTGATAAGAACTTGACTTCTCGAGATTAGCAGTAGTAACAGTATTTATTTACTTCAGCTTTTCGCCAAGACTGCGACATTTGGTTTACATTTGGTTCTGATACCTTAGACTCATACCTTAGACCTCATACCTTAGACTTCGAAATTAAGAAAATAAAAAAATTTTTTTATTGGATTATCATCCGATGCGTCTCTACTTGCAACGTGAAAATAAATATGTCCAAATTATATTGCAATCCAATATGATGACATGGATGGTAGACTATTTAAAAGGAATACGAAGTTCGGTGTTGTATTATTGTTATGTTTTGAAATATCCTTAAATTACTTTGTTCCTATATTCTATGAAATATAAAAGAATTATTTATTTTAAATTTGATACTTTACTATGAATATCGTGATTTTTGTTCAACATCTATTTTTTGTAAAATAAGCACAAAAGGCTTATTAAAGTAGTATTCGTATTCATTGTAAAATATCAGAACGGGCATAGATGTCAGATTATATTTTATGATGAATTTTTTTACTAAGAATTTTATAAAATTGATCTTGTTCGCATAAGCAACTTTGTTTAATCTTTGCAAGTGCAAATTAATTTAATTTTAAGCAAAAATTTATAATTTTTTTTTATTCCAAGTACAGAAAATCTATAAAATTTACGAAGTAAATACCTTTAGCTTCATAGAAATATAAAATTGTGTCGTATTCCGTATTAAGTACAATGCAGATTAAAAAAAAAATGAACATTTAGAAAGTCAGACGCTTATATAGAATCTGTTTTAGCATATATTAGACATTTAATAAAAGTTTAACAAATCACGCTTACAAATGTATTATTTGTTAAACATAAGTTTCTGTTATGTGATAATTTATTGATATAACATTAAATTACCAATCGCATTGTAGAAGTAATTAATGAAAGAGCTTAATGTGTATGATGATTCTCGAGGAAACATCGAAGATGTAATAATAACAGATATCGCTAATTACAACACTAAAATGTACTCCACATTTATGGAGTATAATTTTAGTTTTGACGCATATTAGCGAAATAAAATCAAGCGTGAGCTAAGACGGATAAATATCAAACTTCGGTGCGAAAGAGACACATATTTAACCACAGCAAGTTTCTCGTGATATGCCGATGCTGCCTCAGTTTGATATAGCGTGCATTTGATATTTATCGTTGATCCAAAAATCCTAATCTCTAAAGTATTTTATGACCGACATAAATATAAATGCTTTTTCTTCAAAAGAATGTTACAGATAATACACATTTTATAGCCATATATGTTCTTACACTTTTTAGATACATAAATTGTTACATTGCAGATTGCTTAGTACGCAGAATTAATTTTGTAGCGTTTGAAATTGCATTTTGATACTATATTTAATATTACAATAGATCTGTTATCACGATTGTAACTTAATTAGACATATTTATAGAGTTTCTTTAGGGATCAAACGAATGTTTTTCTGTAAAATATTTATTTGCACGACAAATACCGTGCAATAAGTGAGAAAACTATATATATCATTAATTACATGTTATTATGTAAGTTATTTATATGACTTAATCGAACGTTCGTATTTCCCTACAATGAAAATGGACACATGTTTTTGCAAGATTTGTTCTTCAAGATTATTGTATTATGATTTAATTCTGTATTTATATATATATATATACAATGTGTATGATTTACCATATTTATTCTCCAAATGGCAATAAAAAGCACTTTCTATAAAAATACTGTTTACGTGAATCGGTACAATTCGATATGTATCTACTTCTCATTGCGTTATCAAATTTTGTGTGTGTAGACAGAATATATTACAAAGTAGAACCAGAGGACAAATCAAATAATTACTATTAATATTAAAATAATTTTATATTTAATATTAATATTAAAAATTAATATTAAATTTTAACCTGCTTACCAATCTCCTTTGACTCTCGACTATTTCTCAAATAGTCCACGGGGAATGGAATTTCAGGAGAAATCGATTCGTGGGGTGTTCGTTCCGTTTTCGCGCTGTATATTCAAAATATATCAAAGTATCAAGATTACTAGACGAGTATTATCGTTTCTCGAATAGGGGATTCATCATCCGGAAGAACATGACGACAAAATTTGAACGGAAACTCCTCCGTAACGTTTGTACAGTACACTCAGTGTCAAATATGTCGTAGCGGTTACCGTCAAAAAGCATTTTGACACAAAAACATGCTCAAAAATTCGACATTCCGCGTTTCTTGTAAATATCGAAACGATAAAACTTCAGAAACATCCTGCCTATCACAAGACATGGGTATCAAAATATAACGTCCATCTTGATGATATCTGTTCGAGGACATTCGCAAGCGCGAAAATATACTTGGAGCAACTGTACAACAGCCTGGGCCCGTTCACTCAACGGCTTGAGATTGGCTATCGTTGGAGCAAGCGTTGACGCTTATGTTCGCGCATGCGGGAAAAAAAGGCGGGCATTGAAGTGTGAGAGAGACAACGAGAGTATTCGAAACTCACCACAAATTCGTTGGGTATAGTGCAGGAGCACGAATAGGACAAAGCGTCCGCGAAGGTAATCGTGATGGTGCTGCTAGTGGAGCTGGTGGTATTGTTACCGATACTATTGGCTGGTGTTGTTGCACTTGACGACGAGCTGAAAAGTAAATGCGACTCGATGATGCGCCCATGTGTACTCAGTGATATTCATGTTGAATTCGCGCACGGTGACGTTCGTGTTTGCGATAAAATTTAAATGTTCAACGACGGAGTGTACACATACACGGGTGTCGTTGCGCACTACTGACGAGAGGACACGCGTAGCAAAACTTCGCATACAAAGGAGAGAACGGGCCGATGTTGTAACGCACGTGCCAAAATGGATGAGCAAAACGTTCACGGAGGTATCGGCGATATAAATAGTGCGGTGGCGACTAAAGGTGAGAGCGCGAATATGTCAACGTTAAATCATCTCCGGCAGCATCGTAAACGGGACAGCGACGTAGTCGTCGCGGGCTCGTTTGACCACATGTGGCTTTTTACCTGCTTTGCGAAACCGGAATCTCTTTTAATTAGTGAAAATATCGCTGTGAAAAGATAAGATTCCGCCCTGTTCCGTCTAACCTTACTTCCTTCCTTATTTTGTGCTCTCTCTCTTTCTCTCTCCCTCTCTATCTCTATATATATATATATCTCTCTCTCTCTCTCACACTCCTCTGCTGTCTCTCTTTCTCTCTTGCTCTCTCATGCAACTTTGATGATCGCGTCCCGCGTATTTGTCACCGTTTTTTCTCGTACACGTGACTAGATTTGCTGCTGTACTAGTCGGCTTACACACAATCGTAAGCTCTTTCTTCCTTTAAACACGATCCTTACCGGCATGCAAAACGGGAGGGCAGACATGAGCAAGTGCCTTCTGCGATTCCTCTCCTAAATTTGGCCTTGACTTATTCTCCAAAATTACGTCAGAGACGAACGGTTTCTCCGCGACGAATATCCTTATAAGAAGCCTTGAAAATTGACAATTTCGCCGTGACTCGTGATTGTTCGTCTATTTATCTATTTTCTGTCTCCTTTTATCGTTCTCTCTTTAGATTTTTCGCTTCTTCGTTCTCGCTCTGGCTTCTCTCTATCTTCCCTTTCCCCTCTTCTCCCACCCTCTCTGTCTGTCTTTCTCTATATATCTCTCTCTCTTACTCACTCACTTCTCTCTCTTCCTCTCTCGTGTGCTTTTCGCAAGTTAATTATCTCACGCCGAGCACGTGAATCGTGTGTACAGATGTGTACATGTACACAGGACTTCCCGTTGTCTACGATGATACGAAATAGAGCTACATACTTCGTACAATACGTTTAAATTTTACCGGAATGCTGACACAGCTAAAAATAGCATTTACTGACAAATCTTCCTGCTAGCTGGTGGAAACTTAGTTACTTTATTCGTTTAATAATAGCAATGCCTTGCAATTGTTGTATATTAATGAGTACCTCATTGTGGGGAGTATTTATTCATTTCTACCTCTTTCCTTTGTTTCTCTGTTCTGGTAAATATGAGAACAGTATACAGATACTGTGAGTTAGAACATTAAATTTTATATTTTGCTTTACATATTGATATTTTAAATACAGATTCTTGCATGTATGCATAATATGCATAGTAATATACAGTGTATGCATAATAGTTTACTCTAATTATGATATCTATGCAAGATATGACATTTCCAAGATAATTTGACATTCATATTATTTTTAAGAAAATGAACAATAATGTTATCATTTACTATTTACTGTTTGAAATTACAATAAAGTCAGAATAATTGTTGTTTTTATCTTTATTTTTCATTATAATCGTTACATACTTGTATAATTACTTCCCTAAATATAATCATAATTGTAGATATTCTATCTTACGTTGATTATAAATTATTGCATAAAAGTTGACCTAATTGAAAGTTTTGTTATCAAATTTTTGCACATTTTTTATATATTGTGGAGAAAATAATGATTATATTATATTAATGACTTTCTTATACTTTATCATATACTTTGTATATATAAATATGTATATCAGCTACAATAATTTACACATGTACTTGATTAAGTTATATAAGCCAAATTTACACTTAAATTTTACATTTAGCCTTAATTATACCACGCAAGAAGAGAATATGCTTAGTTGGCACAGCTTGCAATGATCCTGCACTTGGTCATGCTGCCCTGCAATTTAAAGTATCTGTACTCAAGTCAGAAACTGGTGCAGAATATGTCGAGGACACTAGTTATCACACTTATTTTGTACTCAAACAATTCGAAGGTCCCGAGTTTGATACCTTGTGTAAGAGTGCTCATAGGTTTGTACAATGTACTGTATCAGATTTTTATAACAATCTAATTAAGACATATTTGTCATTCAAGTATGAAAAACATAGTAATAAAAAAATATAAACATAGAAAAACAAACAAATAAGAAAAGTAACTAATCATTGATCTTAGATCAAATTAGTCAATTTGGTTATTGCTAACATTTTTGTGTGCTATGTGTCTAATATAAGGAGGAAACGCAAAATCCTAATGTTATCTACTTTGTTTCCTCTGATTAGAATACTGGGACCCACAGCTTTACTGCAACTGGCAGAGAAGAAAGATTCACTGCCTAGTATCAAACGACCATTGTACACACAAGCTATGGTAGGCACAGTAGTGGTGTTTAGTGGATTTCGAGCTAAAGAGGATGAACTGGTAAATTCATTATTTATATCTGTAGTAATATCTTGCGATATTATTAATTTTGACTAATATGTATGTGCAACGTCTTTATACACTTATAAGATTTTATTTTTAATAGCGCAAATTAGCCAATATGATTCTTAGTATGGGAGGTAGTATCCGTAAAGAGATGGGTATCAAAGTGACGCATCTCATTGCAAACCATTGCAGTGGAGAGAAGTATAGATATGCCGACACATTTGGATTGCCTATTATGTCAGTAGAATGGATAATAGCATTATGGAATGCCAAAGATGATGTTTCCAGTTATGCGAAAAAATTAGTAAGTTTTCTTAAATATTACAAGGATTAAATATAATAAAATAATTATATATTTGAAGTATTATGTTGTAATAATATTATGATACATATCATTTTTTTTTTTTTATTATTATTAAGTGCATGTGCTCGATTGTGATTGCAGATAGCAACTTATAAATTAAAACCATTTTATGGAGCAAAAGTGTGTTTCTTTGGTTTTCCCGAAGAAGAGAAAAAACATATGTGTGAAGTCCTGGAGCAACAAGGTGGTGAATCTACTGAAATAGATAATCCAAATTGCACTCATGTGGTGAGTTGGCAATATGATCTTTATTTATGTCTCTCTTGTTTCTTCCTTTTATTATTTCTTTTATAACGTGTACTTTTGTTAATCGGAACATTCTTTTAGCATTGTTTATAAATTCTGCGTACAAACACACGTCATACAGATTTATTAAATTTTATTATTAAATTTATATATCACAAAAATATCAAATTCTCATTATTTTTATTTTTACATTATACACATGCTCTAGGTGATAGACGTACCGGGTCCTTTCTACAAGAAATCCAACATGATTAACAAGTTATCATATCTGAAATATCAACCTAGTCTTAATCCGCTTTTCTTAACACGTTTCAAGCCGGTTCCTTCTCCTCTTTATAATCCTTATTCAAACTCATTTTTTATTCCGATAAAAACACGTGCTAAATATAATGGTATATCAAGCAATGAAAATGCAGATTTTGTAGAAACACAAAAACATTACTTTTCATCAAAAAGCATTTCGTTTATATCGCAAATGCTTGATGTAGACACCAGTCAGTATAACAGTCAGTGGTCTGATCTTATTCCTAATAATAACCAAGATTCTACCTTTCATGCTAGCATGGACAATTATTGTCCTGACTTGCAAAATTCAATAATTAAATCTGGCAATATGCTTCATCATTTTGTAGAGCAAAATGATTCTGGTATAGATATAAACAAGTCATCTAATCTATCTGATGTTTTTACCTTGTCAGATAAATGTTCAAATTCGATATTAACAATAAATGATAACAAAATTAAATTTAATATTTCCGAAAATTCTTTATTTAGCAGCAATCATTCTCTTTACGAGATTACGTCAAATTTTCCAATAAAATCGGATGACTTGAAAAGTCCTAAATCTTTTGAGAAAAATAATGTACATAACATTTCTATATCATCAATGAATAATAACGCGATGTCCTTGAAATATCGTAAAAATATTCACTACATACAAAATAACACGTCAATGACTAAAAGAATTATAACTCCGAAACGATATGTAAAGTGGAGGAAAACTAGTTCTTGTACATCCGTCCATAAAATGGCGACATTTGAAAAATATAAGTTCATGAAGACGCGTTCATATCCGAACATATTAAAACATTATGACGAACAATATAGTGATACGTTCGTACATAATACATTAGGTGAAAAAAGTAAATATTTATCTAAATCGTACACATCCATTTTCTCAAAAATCAGTCATTTTTCCTTTTGCACGATATTTCCTGTTGACAAACAAGATATTTCCAACAACTCTTATTATCCGCCTCCCGAGAAAACTATGTTCAAAAAGAAATATACATCCTTATCCAAGTCTTTCCCAGTACCTACAAAAATTTCGAACGCTAAATACAACTCAAGGAATACCTTTATACCTAATGGGAAAAATTGCAATGCCGCACCTACATCAGATGATACAAAAATTGACTGCACAGATTTGAGAACACAGGACAAATCATTGCTCGCGGTATCTTTGCTTTATTTTTGTTTATAGGGTATTGTAGGGTGTGTGGTAATATTCTTCAGATTAAACAGTTACTCAACACGTTGCACGCGACGTTCTGTTCTTTTAATCCAATCTCAGAGTCCACATATTGTATATATATGCCAACTCGTCTCTTTTCGTCTCGTCATTTTTAACACATATTTGTTTTGACATTTATTATCTATATCCTATTATAAGAAAATGTGCAGACAAAATAACGTCGTGATTCGACCTTAACATATGTTTTGCAAAACTTGGGATATCTTATGAGTCGTATGCAATGTGTTAATATATAAAAAATTTATTCTTATCTCTTTTATTGAATAAAATGTTATGCTTTATGCAACTATCTAATCGGTTTTATTACATTTGTTATATGTGTTCAGTAATAAAAAAAACACTCTTACACATGTTTGTCCAAAAAATATTTGTATATGTGAAATATTAATATTTACAGCATGTACATACATAATTGTCCTGTCCTGTTGTTTACTCTCTGGTAGAGACTATGTAATATGTTTATGATAAACGGAAATAATAAGGTGATATTGCTATAATTGTGTTTATTGTTACAGGTTGTAGACGAGTCCAATGTGAATGTATTACCAAACTTGGGTTCAGTCTCAGCTTTTATAGTCAAAACTGGATGGTTTTGGACATCTGTACAGAATGAAGCAGCAGCCGACGAGAAAGACTATTTGTTTGAACACGTAAGTTGAAATAATAATAGTGACGCTAATAATATAATTGATTCAACACTGTAATCACTGTTCTTTTTATAGTACCTAGAAACGGTCCTGTCTCCTAATGCGTCTGGCAGACGGGACAGTCAACAGATTGCAGGACAGAGTGTAGCGTTACCGAAACATCCCTACTGGTTAGGTACTCCATTATCTAATTTTTTGCAGAATGGGGCAGATTCACCAGCAAGTGTTAGTGGGAGCTTTTTGGATTGCACGGCGAGTCCTGATAAACAATTGCTGGACGGTATGTTAATTCTATTAAATATAATTTAAAACATATATTTGTTGGCAGTCATATGCAATCATAATGTTATGTATATATCCAGTATATGTACAATATATGTAAATACATAAAACAATAAATACATAAAACATTTCATAAAATGCATGTTAATTGGCATAACAAAAGTGATATTATTTTACATCATATTAAAAAATTTATTATCTTCCCTTCCATCATGGACTTTTAGGCATATGGTGTTGTGTGCTTATTGTATAAATTTATTTTCGTCGTAATAATAAGCATAAGCTTTTCCTCTCATAAGCTTAATACATACTAAAAAAACAAATATTACATGTGTGATTGCGAAAGCAATTGTTTAACATAAGTTGTAAAATATCTGAGATAAACCATATGAAAGGGAAGATGGTGTTAAAATTATTTATTGCTAACTAACAGATATTCCAGAGGTAGAAACTATTGACATAAAGAAGGTCAGGGGAAATTTGTCGAAACGTCATCAAGTTTTCCTTGAATTAGTAGAGACTGAATCCAATTATGTGGGTATTCTTAATACAATTATGACGGTAAGAGAATATTTCTTATATATATTGCATATTATCTCTTCTTGTTATCAAATTTTTCAGTATTTCCTAATAATCTATACTTATTATTACAGCTATTCAAATTACCATTGGAAAATCTTATTGGGAAAAATGGAAAAGAATTATTAAATAGTACAGAAGCTAGAATAATATTTGGAAACTTTCCACCCATCTACGACGTTCATAAACAGTTGTTGGAATCATTACGTTACAGTGCTACACATTGGACAGAAGACATTAGTATCGGCAAAATATTTCTAAAGTTCGAACCAGATTTGGTTAAAGCATACCCGCCATATGTTAATTTCTTCGAAAATACAAAACAAATGTTGGACCAATGTGATCAAAACAAACCACGATTCCATGCCTTCTTGAAAAATTGTCAGACGATACCAGAATGTGGTAGACAAAGCTTGAAAGAACTGTTAATTAAACCAGTACAAAGGTTACCCAGTATTAATTTATTGTTAAACGGTAAGATAAATGTTCTGTTTCACAATTGGTTTATTACTTGTTATTACTTGTCTAAACAAATTTCCGAACGTCACCAAAATGCTTATTTATTAATTCTCATTTCTTGAACATACAGATATTCTTAAGCATACTGATAAAAGTAATCCAGATCATAGCGCCCTGGAAGCTTCTATTAGCTGTATTAAGAATGTCATGACGTACATAAATGAAGACAAAAGGAAAACGGAGCGCCAGTTAGCAATGTTCGATATCTTCAATGAGATTGATAATTGCCCACCGCATTTAGTTTCCTCGCACAGATCGTTCGTCGCCAAATGTGACGTAATGGAACTTACAGAAGGTCTTAGCGGTCGGGGTGACCATTTGGTATTGTTTCTATTTACCGATACTCTCGAAGTATGCAAGAAGAGGTCGAAAGCCTTTAACTCTTTAAAAAGCCCCAATACAATGAATGGCTTGCAATCGAGTAAATTAAGTCAAGGAAAGCCGTATAAGCATATAAAACTACTATCACTAAATACTATACGAAAAGTCGTGGACATACGAGAAACAGAAGGTAAGTAAATCACATAAATAATGTAAATGTACATAATTTGTCTTCTATTATTTTTTTTATCCTATCAGAATGTCACAAAGTATTTGCGCTTGTGGTTCGAAGCAATCAAGAACTAAAGGAAAAATTGTTTTCATTTGTGATTACCGATGAAGAAGTGAACAAAACGAATTATTTGCGGACTTTGTGTAGACAAATGGCTATCGCTATTTGCGTAGCTGATGCGGTGCGTTATTTATGATATGTACAATCGATACAAGTTTTAATATTAAGCTTTATATCAAATCATTTTATCTTTATTTTGCTTCTATTTATTTAATGACTACTACTTATTTGATATCTTCTTTTCTTCTATCTTTCTATCTTCTATTCTTTCCATCAGGATACATTACTCATTAGTCATGACTCCCATCAGTTTGAAATTGATACAAGCGATATAGCGTCAGGAACATTAAAGAAAACAATTAAGTAAGTAACAGTATATTTTAATACTAATTATATTGTTACTTTATATAATTATTATCTTAATTCCTTGCGTTGGAGCTATATTTCTTAGATGTTCTACTATTTACAAGCTAAAATCGTTCAGCAGATATTTAATGCAATGTATGTTTTTGTCTTCTCGAAGGATTAACTTAAATAGACGTGCATGTCTTGCGTGAGCGTTAATTAAATGCCAACGCCAGGAATTGATATATTATACGAGGTGTCTGACAATTATCATCCTAACGTTTTGTGATAGAGCACGTTAAGCTGATTTTGAAAATCGTCTATCATTTTGTAAGCTTTAAAATAATTTTTAAGATATTTATCAAAAAATATCAACGAATGGGTATGCGGGGAACGGTAAGACGAGCTTTATACACAATCTCCGCAATGGCAGGCGGCACGTGATGCTAAAATGTGGAGGCGTATGGCACTATCGCTTCCTGTGCACTCATTCACTGATATTCTTTAATGTAATTCCTTAGTAACTATAGCGCGAAGCTTGCAAAAAGATAGATTTCTCTGTTCAGTCTAATAATTCTGTTTAATAATTCTGTTTGATGCTTGCACACTAGCGTTGATACAATATTTATCAGATACTTTGTACATAAATAGCGCATTTAAATATATTATTTAAATATATTTTATAAGTTAATCTACATGTATCGTAATATTAGTTGTGAGTGAAAATGTTTTTCACACTCACCTAAACTTTAATCAAAAGTTTGTTTTTTTGTTGAACTGGTTGCATTACCTTGCAATAGTTCTTTTCTCTCTTTTTAGAAAAGTCTATATATATACTTGTCTCTTTTTAAGTTCTAAATTTTAAACATAACGATCGTTACAATCGACATCACAATAAATACAAAACTGATATTACGATAAATATATAGGATGTCCCATTTTAAATCCCCCAGGCAAATATTTCGAAAAATATGGAAGATACGGAAAAATATTTCAGACAAAAGTTGCATGGTTTTAAGGGGGACATAAAACAACTATATCAGTTTGTTTACAGATAACGTCACTTGGGAGATATTCACTGATCGTTACTTTTCTTAAATGGAAATCCTAATTTTTTATTATATCATGTTTTTCTATCATTTAATTTGAACAACTTTTGTCTGAAATATTTTTTTATTTGCCTAATATTTTTTTTAGATATTGCAGGAAAACTTGGTAATTTTTTCAATATTTAACTTACGATATCTCGCTAACTGTCGGAAGAAAAAATTATATTAGATTTTTTTTACTGTACTTGATCTCAAGAATATATTGTTACAATAGCGCCCTAACTTTTGTTAACTTATCGATCTTTGGAAATTTCAAAATCATCAAATTAACAAAAGTCAGGACGCTATTGTAACAATATATTCTTGGGACCAAGTAGAGTAAAAAAATCTAGTATCATTTTTTCTTCCGACAAACAATTAGCGAGATATCATAAGTTAAATATTGTAAAAGTTACCAAGTTTTCCTTAAATATCTCAAAAAATATTAAATAAATAAAAAAATGTTTCAGACAAAAATTATTCAAATTAATTAGTAGAAAAAGATGGTGTAATAAGAAATTGGGGTTTCCATTTAAAAAAATTAATGATCAGTGTATCGAATATCTCAAAAATGGCGCCATTTGTAAACAAATTGATATAGTTTTATGTCCCCATTGAAACCATACAACTTTTGTCTGAAACATTTTTCCGTATCTTCCATATTTTTCGAGATATTTGCCTGGGGGATTTAAAATTGGACACCCTGTATATCTTAAGATATCAAAAAAATCTTTTTATCTCTTTGCATGTTAAGACATCCTGTACAAAATTTAATTTTTTCTTCCATGATCTATTCTATGATCTATTTGTCAAACGCTGCACATACTGAAGATTAATCTTTCCTCTAGTACTTTCATCTATAATTTGTTACTTTTACCATTAAATCCTATTCAATCTTTATAGGTTTATATTCAGCTACAAATATCAATGAAAAAAATTTAGAAAGTCATAATTTATAAAGTATGAGTCATCCCACACAGGGATAGTACGACACCAATATCCTGGGGGGGATATACGAATGTCTGTTGTTTTAGATCCTACAGATATCTTACGGATATCTCTTTTAATACTAATTTTTAAAAACTGAGAAAGTTTCTAAAAGGGAACTAAAAGTTACTAAAAAGGATCTAAAACAGTGGACATTTGTATATCTCCAAGATATTGTGGTATCCCAGAATGATTGCTGTCGGACGTCCCTGAGATAAAATGTGCTGTGTAGGATTGTTCAAATAAGACTTTTAAACTTGTCCAAGAAATATTTTAATATTAAAGATATCTACAAAGAATATGTTTACAAAGTATACTTTGCATAGTACTTTCAAATGTTGTGAGTTAATGTTGACACATTGAATGCAGTTAATGATCATAATCTTTATTAAAGATGATTATAATTGCTACTACATGTAAATTTGCATGTTTTCGAGATTAAAATGTAGAAACGGAGCAGAATTTGTTTATGATATGATTGCATTTTATATATTTAATGTTAATAATTTAATGTTATATAATTTAATGAGAAACGTGCTATTATATTGCCAATCACTAGTGGTCTTTACGAACTTGTTAATAGAAGCATGTATCGTTAATATTTGAACAAATACTTATAAATAATGTTGTATTTCTACAAGTACACAATCAAAATATTCGCTACTGTACATATACTATATTGCATGATGTAGAAAAATAATGGGACAACAACCCGTTTGGTTACAGGAGCCTATTTCATAATTTTTACCTGGAGTATATGGACCCGTATGTGTTCCTACTCAATAGCATGTGTGAAACTACGTTACATGTCCCACTACCGTTAGTTTTCGCACCAGGCTGATTATATTTTTTACTTGCTTTTTTACCCTCTTCGCTTCTAAAATGCCGTTTATGCTTGGTGGAGGAATATAATTATTTAGAAATAATTGCAGCCAACCAGTTCAAGCATGACATAATATAAACTCTAAGCTGTATCTATTGATTGTTTGTAGAGATGCAAATTTTTTTTCAGGAAATTTTACTCGATGAATCACAAGTTGAAATATGTTATATATTTTTCATATATTATATATTGTGTGTATACGTGTGTATTTTGTTATACACTACACTTATACGCTCTTTTAATTTGTAATATAATTTTATAATTTGTTATAATGAACATACAAAAATGTTATTTTGCATCGCGATTTAATTTGCAATTTGATTGTATTTTGTTCCATTTGAAGAATTATTTGCTTAACATTTTTTAACTTAATTTTTCTTATCTGAATGACACTAACATGTCTTATATGTACTTGTTTTTTTTTTACTTTTTATTTTTTTGTTTTCTTGTTATATTGTACTATGCAGCCATGGTGCATTTCCACCGTCTTTAATTATTGTATGTAATATGTTTTATCATACTGCATGAAATTATGTATGTGTGTGAAAAATTTATATTTTTTATATTCTTTTTAGCATAATTAATATTTAGCTTGAACTGGTCTTTCTCATATGGGTTTTTTAACGTTTTTGTAGAATTGTCGCACGTCCCCTATTTGTAAGATATTTTTTCCTCCTACGAATAAGATTCCAACATTTACTATCTAATTAGAAATAAAGCCATAATTTTAAATTGAAAAACTACTATTTTGAAGGAGGAAACAATATTTTAACCTTGCATTTGAATATTACAATCATATATGTTGATGAATTTGCAAAGGGCAATTGTTTCTCTTAGGTTCGCATCTCGTACAAGGGCGAGAGTTGGCAGAGCTTTTAGTTTCAATAAAACTCCAAGCAAATTAAATAGAGCAATGTCCACAATTATGTCACCGTTCGGAGTGCCGCAAAATCTTGCTCCAACGAATCAGCAGAGAAATCAGATGCGGCTAGGCAGCTGCAGCAATATCAACGTTAGTTGACAATTTTTCTTGTACATATTTCTTTTTTGCATGTGCTCATCTTTTTCTTCTCTACTCACTTATCTTCGTGATAGAAAATATTGTAACTTTTTATATTGATTTTACATTAACACATACTGATTTTATCTTAACATGCTCCATACATGTAAAACCAGTTGTGAGAGAAACTCTCATTCATTTTACTCATTTATTTTATATTAACACGTTGACTGCCGCACGTGTTTGCAACGAAATCTCCGTCAGGCCACGCGCGCCGCTGTACGAAGCGTGCGCTGCTGTCTCATTTTTGTTCATTTGTTACTATCGATACATTCCTAAAGTCTTCACTTGTCACCTCGCTACTCTGCATGAACAGTTCGAATCTTTGCCGAGTACCGAGTGGTATAACTTAAAATCTCTGCCGTAATTTGTTTCAATATTGAGAAGAAAAATAGAAAAGTTAGTTCTTAATGAGTAGTCATATAGCAGTGAAGAAGAAACCTGTTACGATATTCATACAAATTCGGATAGCAGCGATGAGGAAGAGATCAGATTGCCCAGAAAGAGAAATATAAATAGAATTACATCGTCAGATTCTGATTCGGATATTGATAAATGCAATCTTAGTGATAGTGAATGTAATGAAGATACTATTGACGAGATTTTACGAGAATTAGTCTTGGAAGAAGAAAGAAATGTTGATGATACCGAGGAAAGTACAATTCAACTTAGTGAAAGAAAACAATAACTTTTTGTCCAAAATGTCCTGACCAACCTCAGCTTTGCATAGAATGCTTTAATGTTTTACACTCCAAATCACTTTTTTAATAAACCATTTTTATAATAATTCAATAGTTTTATTACATTCTGTGGAATATCTGTCCAAATATTTTCGAAGATCCTTCGTAAGTAGTCAAATAAGCGTCACCCGAATACGGCCGAAGACGCGACCCGATGAGAACTTTTGCTGTCACCCGAATACGGGTGACGCGGCGGTCAACGTGTTAAAGTTATTCTAAAACTTTGTATTCTATACTTTGCTGTCTGTTTGCAACACTTCTTTTATCCCTATTATATTATCTTCATGGGAAGGACAAGACATTTTAATAATTATGATAAATTTGCACGCTGATTCAAAATGAACGGATAAAGCTGTATTAAAGATCATGTAAGTATGTGATATAAAATAAGATTTTGCTGCAGATTCTTATCTGTCAGATATTAACAAATTAATGTCAAATGTTGTTAAACTTAGTTCGCAAAAAAGTAATATTATACATTGACGTTAAAGAGATATAAATTAGAACGATACATTTATATTTCTCTTATTAATAAAACTCTATAAAGGGCCTTTATAAAAACTCTATAAATATTTAACTAATAAATATTACAGTTACATTTTCTTTTCATTACGATAACGTGGTTAAGTTCTAGATCGATATCTCTTTCTACATATTATTTTGAATTTGCTAATATAATATGATGTATTTATCATACTTTTCCCTTTCCCGCTTTCTTTCTTTCTCATACTTATTTTCTAAATATTCTAAATATTCAAATTCTTTTTTCTGTCATAAATATTTTTTTTTTTTTAGTGTTGCAATGTCTTTTGTTGCAAAATATCTTCATCTAATGTCTCTATTAATCTGAAGAAGAAGGTAAGTTAGAAAACAGATATTAAATTTTAGATATCTTTCTAGGAGCTGGATAATGATGGCTCAAGTTCTCCAACTAGAGATGACGTTATTGTAGCACCGATGTCGGATCAACCGACTCGAAAGGCTCTTAGTATGGCTTCGTTGCGAAGGTTGTAATTATTATGCAGGAAGTCGTACTTTCTTTTTACTACAGTATATAGTATTCTGACAAAGAGACGTGCATTTGTAACAAACTACTGTGGTATGTTAAAATAATATAAATATATATGTATACACATAGTCTATATATTGGCATACATAAAGATGTTAATTATGGCTAAAGCAAGACAGCAGTCCCGAGAAAAGACGCAACATAATATTTTTCTGCAGTTCAATTACAAGTAATTACAATCGCTTCGTTATCATGAGAAAATTCGATATGATTCTCTTAGGAATGTCTTGTGTCCTTGAATGCATCGTCGTAGAAACGATACTATTGTTATTAGTGCCAATAACGTCTAGTTATTATTGTTGCATAACTATTATTAACATTTTTATTTATTTTATGTAATATTATCTTGTAATTATTGTACATGTCTACTTAGCTTACGCGTATGCTCGCCGGTGAGATGTATGATTTCCTTTTACTGTCTTACATCACCGTCTAATATCGGAAACATTAGACACGCAAAATCGTTGTAATATAACGGACTATGTCGCCGCTTGATAGAGATACACTAGCACACACCTCGCCGAATCGATTCAGTTTCTTCGTTAGATATATCGTAGTGAGAATGAGGAGGCTGTTTGTTCACAAGTTTCCTAATTATTATTCTAAGAGACGGACTACGCGCAAAATGTACATTACACTTTATACGTTAGCAACGTAAAAGCAAACGGCGTTATTCATTGCTTCGCTTGATCCTCGCAATACTGATGGTTCCGGCAACCGCACAGACTACGGTGCTCGAGTCGCTCCGGGACCCAGGCACCGCGTTCGGCGAGGGTTAATTAACGTGTCCCAGTGCACTCACAATCCCCGATGTCTCTAATAAACAGGAGGGAGTACTTGTTCCCGTAAGAATGGATTCAGCAAGTGCGCTAACGTCTAGTCACAGCATGGAAGAAAACAGGGATTTAATGTCCAGTCGATAGTTCCTGTTCTTTTCTATGCTACTGACATCAGAGATTTGTGCAATTTTACTGTTTCATTATTTTTGTCTTTCTGTTTCTCTATTCATCAGAATTTGTTCTGCGGGGATCATACAGAGGAGGTCCGACCTTTGAACAGCAAAGCAAAATTATTACGTACTACTACAACTTCGTCTTTATTGTTATAACGGGAATACAGATCTTTCCATCAAGCTGATAAATTCCAAGTTCTTTATCGCAAGTAGAATTAAGTTTCAAAGAAAACGTGCGCGTATGTATATTATTCGAACTCAAATCTGAGATCGTCCATAAATAATCGAATAATTTGTTGTACTTGCCAATGTGCCAATGCATAATTGTGTCCATTTTGTAACGAAATTGCATATCGCCAATTACTATGAATCTATAATGGTTCGCTTTGACAATACTGTATTCAGTGACTTCCGATTCGCGTCCAGTTTATCACAGGATGGTCATTTATTGCTATTTTATACATCGACAAGATTTGATATAAGAATTGCAAGAATAGCTGAGAATCAAGCTCCGCAATTTTGCAATATAGACGAAAGCAAGGACAGGTTTGCGAAATCCCACGAATATTTGTTAGTGATCTCGCGTACGTGGTAGGTGTTAAAAATTCCCGGTGTCAGATGTATCATTGGAATTTATCCGGAATAACGATAAACACGCCGATTCCTTCCAAAAGATTGATCATATAACGACAATGAGAAGGATATTGTAAATTGCTGCATACATACACACACTAGCACATTAGCATTTTGTTGATAGTCCGTTATTTTAAAACAGGCTCCGAAGTTTATTTTTCAGTTGAGCCGGTAGCATGAAGCAAAAGGAGGTTACACACAATTTAGTTTATTTGCAAAATGACCGACTGTTAAATGCACTCGGCGAAAGATCTTATAAGCGTAATTTTCGTGTTTTCTTTTTTTTTTCTTTTTTTCTTTCGTAATCTCGTTTTTGTTTACTTAATCAATACATCCTGTGCCTTTGATTTATCCCGAGGAAATTGCGATAGCGTCGCTTTTAAATGAATTCGATGAAGCCGAGGACCAAACTTTAACGTTTCACAACATTTGGTATTAACGACAAACTTCTTTTATATGTACGTCTTTCTTATCACTAGGATAACAAAGCGAAAGAAATTGCGATGTAACGTTGGTAGATGTATTTTTAGAGCATCGTATATGTATTGATTGATTGAAGAGAAACGAAGCGAGAGTTACGAGAGACTGTAGAGAAAATTAATAGAATACAATAGAAAATTTTGGTTATAGCTTATAAGGCCTCACGGCTGATGCAGATTTACATTACTGATTGCACGCGCGCCCGCGTGCGAGAGAGTGTATTCCTCCCTCTCTCTTCTTATGATAAATATAATTAGTGCCTTGTGTAATTGGAAGCGCGGGCGGAAGTGTGTATCATATGACAGTGTGTACATTGTGAATGTGAATTTAACGCGTGATTCGTGCAAGATCCGTAATTAGCGGCATATATTTAATGTCTCACGATTTGCCGAAGTTGCTGAATAGTATTTTATGCCCGATACACGCCGTTCGCGTTAGATACTTAAGTAATATTACTACTCGTCGACATGGCTGTATGCGCTTTCGAAACGGTGACATGATACTTTGTACTTGTTTGTGACATAGCATATCTCGTAACAACGAAACAGTGCTTCTTGCCAATGCCATTGAACAGGCAATACCTACTCAAAGTAAGTATTGCCTATTCGTAATTGTTAGAATGAGAGTCCTCAGGCAAAATGGTAGCATAAATTTCGCCTTTACATCGCCTTTATGTCGGAAAGAGAACGTGCGGATTTTTCACGTGTACCATTCATCTCCGCATGTATACACTCACATCGTCGTGAACGTGAAATCTTAACGTCGAGTGTAAAACGGTGATCGTTACGACTTTCCATGATGAGGCCGATTACGAATTTATTCTGCTCTTTTGTCTCATGGTTCGAGCCATCCGGTGAAATTCGATAATAATAAATGTCCACTCGGACATGTTCTTCCCGTGTATAAACACCAATATCATCGTCGGTCTAAAAGATCGCTAATTAGTGGTGCGACCGCACGGGGAACGCTTCGATCATCGTATGCGCTTCGCACGTGACCGGCACCGAGTGTCATTTTTCTCTCTTATCTCAAAGAGTATTAGTCGAAGTGATGTAGTAGTAGTGGTGGTGAGAGAGAGACAGAGAGAGAGAGAGAGAAAGAGAGAGGCAGAGCTGTGTAGTTGTATGCGCCGAGGCGAAAGCTTTCCGAGTTATCACAAACGCATTGTAAATATAGTGGAGTTAAGTACCTAAGATAGTAAAACGCATCGTAATATAGACGACATTTTGTACTACACGCGTAAGGTTGTCGTAATATCGCCTGATGATTTTCCGCGTAGCCGTTATTATTTATATTATACTGTAAGGGAATGTATAAATTTAATCTTTATTATGTAAAGCCAAAAACACATATGCAGACACAATACATACACACAGACACACACACATACGGAGTGCATTGTTCATTCAAGAAACGTTCGTCCGTTTCCCTCCTACTCATCCATCTCACTCTTCCGAGAGTACTTCCGGACACGCGATAGCGACGTTATCGCCGAAAGTTCACTCCCGAAGAGCCCACGCTCGCCGTTTTATTGGCCGTGAGAGGAGGCATTTGCATCTTGCACTATGCGTGGTCTTCCGGAAAGTAGATACGGCTACGTTACGAAATTCGTGATCACGTGTGTGTATGTATGTGTGTGTGTGTGTATATGAGTGTGTGTATGCCTACGGTGTACTAAATTCACGAAATCGTAAACTGGAGTACGGGGCCCGGTAGCAGTAAGGAAATTTCCGACGAGTTTACGCGCACACGTCGGATTGAATGCGAACAACGCCGTGAACGATGCCGCTGCGGCAATAAATCGCAACGGAAAGGAGTTTTAGAGGACAACAATTTGAAGAGAATCCTGTCGCTCGTATTTAACGTGCACGGGTGCGCGCGATACTATAAATTCGTATCTTTACGACGATGAGAGCGATCGACGCGAATCGCGACCGAATGTTCCTCCGTTATTTCACGTTCCTCGTGCTTTCCTGCGACGGGCGTGAGGGGAAAAAAGCGCGCGCGACTTTACGTATCACGTAGCAAGACGCCGAAGAGACTCGGCCGCGCGCCAAGGAGGGGAAGCGCCTTCCGCTTGTGAAATTGGGCCGCCTTGCTCCCGAAACAGTGCGATTGCAACGAGTTCATCCAAGACAACTTTCATCGACCACAGATTATCACCTCTCATCTGTGTCGTCTTCGGCGACGATTTTATTCGTTGCGTCACGTTGCCTCGCCTCGTGCAGTTGTGTCAGCGCTCGCGGACGCGACGATATCGCGTCGCAGCAATTAATCACCGCGACTGCGTATCGTCGCAACTAGTATGTAACGTTAATATCACTCTCCCCTACGTCGCGAAAATGCGAATTTATTATACGAGTGACACTCGTAAATCATGGCGCGCGATATCCACGGGGATTTTTGAGAGACGAGTGCACAACACACGTGCCTCACATTTTCTACGATTTGCATGTCTCGATATCAGTCCGATTGATGAGCATCGATGCGGATAATATGCGAGGATGTGATATCTTTGTATAATGTACTGCAAAAGAAATCACGAGGTCGGAGAATTTACCATTTCTCGATGTTTTAGCCGAAGGTAACGACACATGCGAAATCGTCGACCGAGAAAGAGATATAATGTTAAAGGAAGCGCGATTCTCGGGAGTATTTGTTGAAATAAAAATGTCACTTGACAAATGAAAATATTCTGGTAGTTTATCGTGCTCGCGCAAGTCTACTCCGTCTCGGACGGTCGGGATTCTCGTCGATTTGTCGAGACTGAGACCGACGGCGACCGCGTGAAACATATGCCCACACGGCAGGATAAGCCCAATGCGGCTCTGTTTGCGCCGGGATAAACGCGTGGGAACAACTTTAATTGCCATTGAAATCTGCGAGCGAAGTTGAGATCGAACATCCGGCTTGACAAAGGCGTAATGCGGTCGAAATCGCTGAAGCAACATTTCCCTCGGAAATAGGGCCAGGGAACAATAAACTCAGTTAACAACGATGCGCTCGCGCCTCTGTTGCTCGATACAAATTACAAGTTGGAGATCGCGGGATCTCGCCCCTATCACCCGTCTTTGTCCGCGCCTTTGCCGAGTGTTCTCCTCCTCTCTCCTTCTCTCTCCCTCTACTCGTGAGCCCAGTAATCTTAACTTTGGATTGCGCCACCAAACAAGAGTTTAAGGACACCCGACAAAAACACTCCTCTCGGAACAGGTAGATCCTGCTTCCGATAAATGGCAGATCCCGATTTTGATACGACGAAATTGCAGCGAGCGCCAAGATGAATGTCCCAATTAGTGACAGTGTCTCAATTTAAGACGATCGTGCCCGTTTACCTTTATCAAGCGGCTAATGTGGCTGCGCGTTTATCGAACGGTTACTTGCCGACATCCTACAAGTTGACAGTTAACATATCAGATACAGATAAATCAAAGTATTTCTATAAATTATGAAAATATTTGATAATTGAAACCTCAAGTTTCCCAATGAAACCAACTTTGTGTATTCGTCTTAACACATACGCTATCAATTTATTGTTAATTTATTTTCACAACCAAGTCGCTTGGCTACTGATTGGAACATTCGTCTTATCATCTTATCTCATGTTGTCACGTGCATGCTCCGTCGCGACTCTCGCGGCTTTGTCGTTCCCCTTTCGAAGAATTGCCTCGCGACGGAGAGTCTAGCCTAGTCACGTTACAACGCGATGAATTATTTTTATTGCGTCCTCCCCGACTTGACCGTCCCGAATGACGCGTGAAGTATCGCGACACTTTCGGAGCGCCGCGAAAATCGCTGCGCGCTCTTGCTCGGCCGGCCGCTCGGCTCTTGATAAACATCTCCGTACGAAATATGAAGTTTTAAATTAAATTCTTCCACGGAGAGTTTCGTGCTCGCCAAATAATTATTAAATAATACGGTCGCGTAATTCCTCTCCCCCTTGCGGAGAAACTTAATTAAAAAACTTCGTATTTATTATTAATTTCAAACACCGAACTTCGGAAATCGATAGAACTTCGCCCCGAAAATTCCACGTGCGCTTATTCATTAAACGCGTCTGTTCGCGCAGCGACATTGTCAAAATGCGCTTTCCGTTAAAACAGACCACACATACGCTGCGTCTAGTCGCTTAACGTCGAAACACGCACGCAAGCGACGGCTTATCGGCGGCGCGCCTCCTCGTTTCGTCGAACGACGCCGTATATTATTGCTAATTTGCCCCGAGCCACGAGTGGCCCGCGACTTCTCGGTAATTCGTGACCCCTTTAATTAACGAACGGCGAGATGACGTGCGCGAGCGCGCCCGCGCGATATCAAATAAACTCGCGAGACCCGCGAATAACAGTCACGCCCGCTGATTAAAAACGCCGTCGGGGTCACGAACGACGGGATCACGTCATCGTCGCTCACCTCCCTGTTTTTTCTCCCCCCTTCTCTCTCTCTCTCTCTCTCTCTCTCTCTCTCTCTCTCTCTCTCTCTCTCTCTCTCTCTACGGCAAGAAGAATGAAAACGTTTGCAACGCAGCAAAATCGGGAACTCACGAGCCCGGCGTTAACGTCAGAGGAAAGGGGCTCAGCGCGCGGGGCAGGGTGACTTTCCCCTTTCTTCCTTTTTCCCAGCGTTGCGCGCACTGAAAAGGCAAGCGCGGGAGCGTTTCATTACGGGGACGCGCGTGCCGCTTGCCTGCATGCGTGGGTGCAAATATTCAACGAAGCAAATTTACGAGCGAGTAAACAGTCCAGCCGGTGCGTTGTGTCGCACATACGCTGATCGCGCCTATCCTCCGCCTGCTCCCTCCCAATCCTCGCAGCCCGAACGTATCGCCCGTTACGCCTGTCAATTCGTCGGGAAATATCAGCGCGTCCTATCTCTTCGTTTTATTTTTTCCTCTTTTTTTATTCTCTCTCTCTCTCTCTCTCTCTCTTGCTTTCTTTTCTCGCTCCATCGCGCAGAACGGCCGCTTCATTACATTGGGATTACGATGAAGTGGCGCGATATCACGTGGGTATGTTTGACGTATTTCTTGGGGGGCCTTAAGGGATGTAATGAGAAGCGCGAAAGGACGTTATCGTTGCGTGAACGACGGAGATCGCGTCGATGTGTGATTCGAATTTCGTAAAGAAAGTTCCGGTGTGTTGGTCAACACTTCGAGAAGAGACGTCTCGTGTTTGTCCATTATTTTCTTTTTTTTTTTCAATTAATGATCTCGCGCAAATAATTGCGACGTTACCCGGCGAAACGCAGGCTGCGCACATCGATGATTGTGTGGGAAAGTCGAACTCGCGCGAGACGCCCGTTGGGAGCGTTAAATTAACGAGCGTTAATGCGCGCGTCGTTAAAACGATGACGCGGTATAATATTTGAATCGCGGCTGCTATTTTATCGACCGCATCCGGCCGCCCTTAATTTCGACTTGCGCACCGGCGATTTGCAGCGCATGATGTCGTAATTAACTAATTACCAATGAAGATATGTATATATACACGCTCATGCGCGCGCGCGCGCACACACACGCACACACACACACACACACACGCGCATGCAACGGCGCCCGACGGAGGCTCGTAATAATTAACTACGTTCGATCCATCAATTATACGATCATATTAGTAAAGTACGACAGATCGCAATTGCATGTACGTAGGCCGCAAAGTGCGGTAATTGTGCATAATCGCCGGGCGGATAATGAACATACTATTTGACCAATTTACGTCCTCGTTACTCCTACTAATGTACGATTATCTGCGCCGCCCTGTTGTATCGCGAAACGCGGCAAAACTTCGACATAAGGACTGCGAGGGCGAGCGACAACTCGCGTCTCGCCGGCTTCACTTCGCGCCTTCATGACGATCAAACGACGTTCCTTCAAAGGGTGACGTGTCGCGTCATCGTCGGCTGACTCGATGATTGACGCGAAATTTCGCGATTAGCCAGGATCTTCCAGCCAACGTCTTAACGAGGCACGCCAACTTGCAGCCGAGACCGAGCGACGCTGAGTCGCTGAGTGTTATCACTCGAAGCGCCGATTCAGCTCCGGCTATTGTCCCTCGGAGTATCGTTCCTCGAAGGGAAGCGTCAAGAGCTCGGATCTGAGGAAGAGGATCTGAGAGAGAGAGAGAGGAGCAAGAGCTCGCGAGTTTCTCAGCACGTTAAAATGTTACAAGCGCATCGATCGCTATACGAAACTATCGCTGCCTCTCGACGCTCAATCTCTTGAAAAGTGTCACTTAAGCCTACGTCATCGCTCGTCTGCTTCCCCTTGTTTTATATCGGGTGATTCTCCCGTTATCGCCGAGATACCTGCGAAAACGTGTGTTCGCTCGCGGTATTTATCTTTCGTGAATTTATCTGCGAAAAGCCAAGGGTGGCGTCTCGTGGCGTTACGCAGCTCGTTACAGCATAATTCCACGGCGACGCTCAAATTTTTCGTTTTACGCGCAAGATCACGACGGTTCGGGCGAAGTGCACACACGTCGACGCGTACACTTATTTTTAGGTTCACGGAGGGTGAAAGGGAGGGCGGGAGGATGAGAAGGAGAGCACGTTATCAGGAAGGTTAGTAGCGAGACCACAGCGGCTCACATTGATTTTCACAGGGGT